AAGGATATGGGATAGGTAGGGTGTTGGTGGAGGGCAGGGGAGGAGGAAAGGGAGAGGGAACTGGGATTGACATGTAAATCAATCTTGTTTCAAATTTAAATAAAGAAAAAAAAAAAAAGAATCAGCACTGCTGTGGCTGGAGAGATCTGCTCAGGGGTAGAGTGGTACTGTTCTTTTTTGGTTCCCAGAATCTTTGCCATGCATCTCATAGCTGCCAGGGGAATTGGCCTCTGTAGGCACCTGCATTCATGTGCACACACGCACATACACACACACACACACACACACACCTTTAAAGAAGCTTTAAAAGGGCTGGAGAGATGACTCGGTGGTTAATTCCCAGTTCCTACATGGTAGCTAACAACTGCCTATAACTGTAATTCCAGGAGATCTGGAATTCTGTTCTTGCCTCAGGGACATTGAATGCATGCACTACATAGATACACATGAAGGGAAAACAGCCATACACATAAAATAAAAATAAGTGGTATAAAAACAGAAAGAATCAGCACTTTGGGGTAGGGCCTTGTTGGTGGTGGTTTTTTGGGGGGGTGGGGGGTTATGTTGTTATATAGCACTACCTGGCCTGTAATTCACTGTGTAACCCAGGCTGGCCTCAAACCTGTTGTAATCTTCCTGCTTCTCAGGCTCTGGATTACTTTGCTAGATTGATACACATCCTTGCAAAGAACCACATCCCTTCTGGTCTCATATAGACTAGGCTTGCCTCATGCTTCCACACCCCAAGTGCTGGGATTACTGGTGTATACTGCCATGCTTGACAAGAACCAGCACTTTTGAAACCTCTTCTGAACTTTAAAGCCATTTTATTTTCACAAAGAGAAGCAAAATATTATATAATAGGAAGATACGTATTGATCTTTATTGCTTTACCAAGTCTAGTCTTGGACATTGTTAGTTACCATGATACTGTAAAACCTGTTGGCATTGGTTAATGGTATTTGTTATAAACAGTGTTATATAATAGGTATTCTCATCTGTTGTCATAGGTAGAAGTGAAATCTGGAGAAGAAGATGAAGAAATTTTATTCAAAGAGAGAGCCAAACTTTATAGATGGGATAGAGATGTCAATCAGTGGAAGGAGAGAGGTATTGGAGATATAAAGATTCTTTGGCATACAATGAAGAATTATTATCGGATCCTAATGAGAAGAGACCAGGTTTTTAAAGTTTGTGCAAACCATGTTATTACCAAAGCCATGGAATTAAAACCTTTAAATGTTTCAAATAATGCTTTAGTGTGGACTGCCTCAGATTATGCTGGTGAGTTACTACCTTCAATTGTCTTTTAATTTTATTGACTTTTCTGAAATCTATAACATATACATGCTTTGTAAGTTAATATTAAGCCCCTCCCCCCCCTCTTAACAGATGGAGAAGCAAAAGTAGAACAGCTTGCGGTGAGATTTAAAACAAAAGAAATGACTGAGTGTTTTAAGAGAAAATTTGAAGAATGTCAACAAAATATATTGAAACTCCAAAATGGACAAGTATCCCTCGCAGCAGAGTTATCAAAGGAGACCAATCCTGTGGTATTCTTTGATGTTTGTGTGGATGGTGAACCTCTAGGACGGATAATTATGGAATTATTTTCAAATATCGTTCCTCAAACTGCTGAGAACTTCAGAGCATTATGCACTGGAGAGAAGGGCTTTGGTTTCAAGAACTCTATTTTTCACCGAGTAGTTCCAGATTTTGTTTGCCAAGTAAGTGTC